AATGTTATACAATATTCTCGTTTTGGTTGGTTTCGGCTTGATTACATTACAATTCTTTTAAATGAATGACTATGAACACAAACAGATTTGGGCAAAGAAGAAAAGTTCTTCTTAAATATTACTGCCTCAGTGAAACTTTGTGTATGAATGTTTTCCAGAAAAATCAATTTTTCTTAATGGAATCCCTAGGAGCCTTTCTGGAAATGTGTTGAGAGGAAACAAATCACACCCTGCATTGACTTCTATGAGGTTAGTTTAAGGACAGTTATATATGACATTCTAGAAATGATAGGCATAATTAAATTGGTGTAAGAACTACAAAAGATAGGTTCAGAATGCTCTGAATGTGTGTGCCTTGTCCTCGGGGTGGGGCGTCATCACGGCAGGACAGCCCTTTGACAACAAGGCTGCTGTTACTCTGTAAGCAGACTTCTTATCCCTGCACGTTCAGAGCTTAAGACCAAAGCTGGAGCTTGGGTCTGCACAGTTTTAGGGGTTGAGTTTACCAGGACAAAGAGGTAAAAAAGAAAGAACAGGCATAGATGCATATACAGAAAAGTTAGGATCAGGTAGACCTGATCCACCAGCAGCCTGGAAACTCCGCCCATTTATTCTATTAACACTGACCAAGGAGGTGGGTCTCTTGCACACATCTGAGTAAGGAGGAGACAGGTTAGCTAACTTCAGCAAGTCTCAGGTTGCAGTCCTCCAGGGGAGTTATAGCTGATAGTTTCGGCATACACTGGTTTTAGCTAGAGAGCAACCATTCCTAACATCTATGCTTGAGCTAGAGGGAGGCTTTGCCATTCCTCTGAGTGTGAGCCAGGGAAGGCGTTTGCCGTTCTCACTGGTCCAAGGCACTGCAGTCTTTGACTAGGATGTGACCATGTCAACAGCCCATGCTCACTCAGGACTTCATCAGCTCCCCGCTAGTGTGGACGGGTGGTACTTGAAGTGACTTTGGGAAACAGAGACATGCTTCCACATACCTGCCTATGGTGCCCTGTTAACCCAGGGACAGTATCTTTCTCCTTTCATTGGCCCCTACTGCCTCTTGCTTCCCATCCTGTCTGTAATTAACTCCGTTCATACACAAAGCAAGTGGTCCCTCCATGTTACCTGTGTCCTAAATTATGTGACCAACGCTTGAATCCCTTTCGGTGAATACTTGCCTCTTTGCTGTAATCTGAACTTGAAAGAACTGACACTTTCCAAACTGTGCGATATAAACGCGTTTTTTTCCAAGGCTACATTTACACTTAGCAGAATGCGCATTCAGTGTATGACGTGTTGAGCTTAGACAACTGCGTGCGTCTCTGCTGGCAGCTTTCCAACAACACCGAGCTCCTCCTTTGTCCGCAAAGTTCTCTCATGCCCTTTGCCAGGCCCTAAATGGAGAATGGCTATTCTAAAGATTGTTTTCGGTCACAAACTTAGTTTTGCCTACTTTAGAACCTCATATAAATGGAAGCACATCGCGCATGTTCTTTTTCTCCGGCTTTATTAGAGCTTGGTAGGGTGTTTGTGAGACTCTTCCCTGAAATTCACTCATTACCAATCAGCATTCAGATCTCTGAATAGACTCCAGTGTGTTCTCCATTCAGTTATTCTGGGCCAAACCATTGTTGACTGAGATGCTTGTTTCTTGTGCAAGAATTTCTGTGGACAATTGCTTTCATTTCCCTTAGAAATATATTAAAGAGTAAATGCACATAGTCACAGGCTGGGTGCGTTTGGATTTTATAAATGGCCAAACTTTTCCACCATGCCTTACCGGATGCTAGATTTCTCCTTCCGGAACTAAAACATGAACTCCCTCATCTGCTGAAAACATGGGAAATAAACAACTCCTAATGAAACTCCTCTCTGGGATGTGTCTCAGGGGCAAAAAGTCATTTGACACAGGATAACTCTCAGGAATAGATCAAAACTGTCAGGCCAATGAGGGCCCTGAATGCAAATGCAGAAGGCATAGCTCTGGGCCTTAAATGATGTACATCTTATTCCCATCTGCTACCCACATACATTCATAGATGTTCTCAAAACTCCCTTTTCTACTGATCCCGAGAGCTGGGCCTACTATCAGATGACTGTCACAGTTTTTAATTCTAGCTATCAACAATAACTTTTCAATCTGTAGAGTAGTACATTACCTCTCAATTTCCTTTCTATTGTCCTTTTCACTCTGTAGGACGTTTAGCAGAACCAGAGCGGCTCTAGAGGTAATGAGATTAGTTTGTAACATGAAAAGACATTGCCAAAACCAGAGCTGGAATTTACATTCGAGTCCTTCTTCATCTAAAGTACCAACTTAGGCACCATATGCTATGGGACCCTTCGGCACAACACGGTTTGATGCAGAGACGAGAGAATGGGAAATGCAGGATCCACGATGGCACAAAAGCTCCTTTTGCCAAAACCATGATGGAGCACATGGGCTCTGCATTAGCAAAACAACCCTGGAAGCTGGGAATTCTCCAGCATCTGAACGTTACTTCTCTCATCATGTACGATTCGCTTCCTCACTTGGCACCGAGTCATTCATCAGTAGGTTCAGGGTGGACTCCTGGCCCTTTAATAATAGAGTAAGTCGTTTGAGGGGATCACATTACTTCTCTGAAGTTCACTTTCTCCATCTGCAAAACTGGTTTTCAGAATTTCTGATTTCAGAGGAGGAAGGGAGAGAGGGAGGAGAGGAGGACGGGAGAACTGGGGGGGGGGGGGGGGGGAGAACGACCATGCTTTTTTTCACTGTCAACATATGATTTCATGAAAAGCAGAACAAAAGACATTCCTTCCAAATAAATGCACTTAGCTAACTTGATGAATGAAATTCGTCATGACCAAACCTAAGCCAGAGCCTGGCCTTGGGGAGCTACAGTTCTGGGTGATCCCCGAGGTTTTTAATTTATGAAGTTATGAGCCTCTTTGAAGGCAACACAAGACGTTTTGTGAGAAGGATCTCTTGGTGGTAGCAGTTTACAACGTTTCTGGTTTGCTGGGGGAATTTCATTAAGTTCATGGCTTGGCACTGGGAGCCGAGCATCACAGGAGAGGCCTGACCTAAGAGAGCTGCAGAGTAAAGACGGCTTGATTGCCAGCTGGTCCTTTGAGAGTACCATCCACACCCAGCAGTGGCCAAGGCTGTAAAATCCCCCAAACAACTGCCTACCCTACAGCACTGTAAGCCCAGCAAGGCCAGCTCAGTCTGTAGCAGACAGCCCAGACAAGCCCCCAGCATGTGGGAAGGCAGAGCTAGCAACAGCAAAACAGTTCAACTTTATGCTTTATATTGATTTGGTTTTAGTCATTTTAAAAGTCATTCCAACCTATTGCAGGAATATATAGGGTTCACACTGTGCTTCTTAATATGTCAGCAATATTCCTTAAACATGTTAAATTTTATTTCATTTCTAATTAAAATATAATTAAACTATTTCCCCTCCCCCTTCTCCCCCAATTCCTCTCATGTCCTCCCCCCCCCCGCTTTCTTCCAAATTCCTAGCTTATTTTTCTTTAATTGTTATTGTTTTTATATCTATCTCTATATTAATAAATATAAAAATATAACCCTTCTGAGTCCACAGAGTATTGCTCAGTGGATTTAGAGCTGAAAACTTGATATTAGATAACAAATAGTAAGCTAATATCTAGGAGAGACTGAACCTCCCTCTCTCAGCAGCCATTAATTGCTTATAACTCTGTACCTAGAGGTAAGGCCCTGTGAGGGTTCCCCCAGCCCCCACTGGGATGTCAACTAGTGTTGGAACTGCCCATGTCTTAGGCAGCCATAATGTTGAGATTTCCTGGATGTAGTCTCCCTGTCATGTATAAAAGACATGAACTTGCAGGAGACCATCTGCTCCTCTGGCTCTTACAGACTTTCCACCCCTTCTTTCACAACACCCCCTGATAAGTCCTAAGTGCATCCTCAGTATTTATTCATATACCCACAGATGAGTGTGGCTCTCACTTCTTCTCAGGTCTGGTCAAATCTGATTATCTATCTGGGTTAGTCATGGGAGACTAAATCTTGGTGAGTAGACATCAAACTCGCATCCACATTTAATCCCAGCGCTTAGTATATGAAGAATAGTAAGTATTTTTGAGTCAAGGAATATCAATCAACAAACACTGGAGATGTTCTTTTGTTTAGGCAGCTATGAGTAGCCATCATGACCCTTCTGAACGCTTCTGGAGCCGCAAACAATTCTATAGACACTGGTAAGCAATACATCTTCATATTTTACTTGCTCAATACATATTCCTTAAACAACTACCTCAGGAAGTGCAAAGTTTTAATACCATCATGGAGGGTTTGTGGCAACTTATACCAACCTTATCCATGTACGACTGGAAAGCACAGCCCAGGGAAAAGCAGATCCAACCCATCGAAGTTCTTACACTTTCCCACTTCTCCCATGGAGGGAGAAGTTTTTTTTTTTTTCCAACTTACTTCCCACATTGGTAAACTGGGAAATGCAAGCATTAGCCTATAGGGACAAGGCTGAGATTTCCTGTTACTCACTCCAGATTTCCATGGCAGTCATATAAACACCGAAATAATAGGAAGGCACGTGAGTTTCCCCATCAGGACCCCATTTCTGGTAAGCCAAATATGTCTTCTACAGAGAATGTTCTCAGATATTGGCTTCCAGGAAAATAAAGAATTTCAGTTTCAACTTCAGTTAGGAATAGTTCTAACCTGAAATCTGAAGTTAATAGTTCCTCATCTTGAACCCACTCACCAAAGGAATCTTAAAAACATCTACTGCAATATCTGGACTTCACTCAAGATCCACTAAAGCTGAATATCTGGGTTTCACTTTCAAATTGTGTTTCCAAAAAGAGCCGGTTAGAAGCCGATATGGAGTGTTGCTAAATAGAGAGCAGAGAAAAGAGGGAGTTTTTGAGGGGGAGAGTAAAGGAAGGGTTCATTTAGATGATGAAATATCTAATGCCGCGTTTACATCTTAATGGGAAGAAAGAAAGAGACATACCAGTGATGCAGAAGAGGACACGCATGCTAAGGATATCTTCCTGCAGCATTAGGGTGAGGACCCGTCACGCCAGGGGGAAGGCTGCATGCACAGCATGGCAGGTGTCGTCTAAAGGAAGGAAGGCAGAGCACATGAGCTCGACGCTGTCGTAGGGTATGCTACGTGGCGCTGCTTCCAGTGAAGCGAGAAGCAAGTTCTCGAAGAAAACTCTGGAAGAAGACAAGCAAAATAGAATGAAAATAAAACTATGGCAGAAATTCTGTAGATCATGAAAAGTACTATCAATAACCTTAGGTTAATAAATTTCAAATGCAAATAAATTCTGGTATTATATAAAATATTACTGAAAACTGACCTGGAAAACCTGAAATTCTTTTAAAGTGATCAAATACAAACCATTAGAAATTTATTGTGATTGAAAAAGTAAATGTAATTAAAAATATGCTTCATTTTACTGATGACTGCTATCATTTTTCCAAAAGCTAGATGCATATTTTATAGGATACTTCGTAGAATATAAAAATTAGAAGAAATTCCAAGTCACTTTTAAAGATACAAACCTTGCTCCAAAATTTAAAGAGAAACTCTCAAGAAATGCAAATTTTAGGCATTCTTCATTATGGAAAAGACTTAAAACGAACTATGTTCCATATGTCCTAAAGAGACTTATCCAGAACCTTTGGGGATTGCCAGAAATCAGAAATCCAAATCTTTCTCGCCAGTGGTCAAGATGCTTGCACAGATCCACTCAGATCTTAATGAACATACCCCACACACGCTTGCTCACACATGTGTGCTCACACATGACACAATGCAAGCACACACATCACAGGCATCTGGAAAATCCAGAAATAAAATTAAATGTAATTTTTCAACTGGAAGTTCTCAGAGCCATTTATTAAGCCAAAGTCTACTAGGAATAAATATAGATTAAATTCATGCCGCCCCTTCCCCTCTTATCCAGGGCCATTTTCTGAGGAACTGCTCCAGTCAAGCGCTCTGGGAAAATGCTTAGAAGATGGAGACTGGCATCTCTGGTGTCCAGACCTCCTCAGTTTTGAGCTCACCGCAATACCCTGTCTCCCCTTTCTATATAGGGTTGGTACCTGGTAGACCCCTAATAAACGATCTGCAGAATTCACTGCCTCTCGCAAAGGAACTGGAGGCTCACTGGCTGTGCTTCATCTGAGGGGGGGGGGGAAGATGGGAAGTAAGCACATGGGACTGAAACCATGTTCAGAGCTTCCGGCTCCGCCAGTTGGTTTTGATTGCTTACCAAGGAAAAAGCAAACAAAGAAACGGGTGGAATTTATTTCAGCAAACAGCTCCTTTCAAAGAAAAAGAACTCAGTTACAATCCGAACACAGTTGCTAACAACCACTTAGTTAAAGAAAACAACATGTTCAAACAGGGTTTGCTGAAGCAGGCGTTTGGTGTCTGCGTGTGTGTGTATGTGTGTGTGTGTGTGTTCTGAAAGGAAGACAGGATAAACATACTTGCAAGCATCATCATTATGTCTACGAACACTTAGTAGCTCAGGAGTAAAAGAAAAGGTTTCTACACACTTAAGCACCGAGGGATTTCATGGTATATTTTGCCAAATCCTCCTCAATCAGCAGATGATAGGCACAAGTGCCAGAGAGGCTCAGTTCCTCCTTGTTCCCTGGGTTCTCTATTCCTTTTTTTTTTTCTTGTCTTCTCCCACACTGCACTGCTCTTTAAAACATAGATGCATTAAGAAAAGTTGAAGAGGTCAGAACTCTGCATGGTAAATTCCAGCAACAGTAAAATGAACTTGGTGCATTTGGCTCTACGGAAAGTTAAACAGGAGTAAATTCTGGTCAGAGCAAGGCAATGAAGTCTAAAGCAGTAACACTGATTCTCAAATACATGGGGAATCTAATATTGCTGAGACATCTTATGAACTATAAAGATATTGATGATAGCTACCAAGCCTCCATCGAAGCTATGCCCAACTGTTTCCTGTCCTCCATTTTATTTAATTTCACAATGACTTGCTGCCAGAAAGACAGCACCCCAGATTCTAACAGAACAGAAGGCATGTACCCTGAGTTAGTTATACAGTTCGGAAGCAGAGATGTTAGGAGTCCAGTCCAGATCACTGATTCCAAAGCCTTGAGTTTTTGAGCCACACCAAAGGACAGGCCCAGTAGGACGTCAAGCCATGTATTATAATGCAAAGAGTGTATAAGCCTGGAGTGGTATCTCATATCTTTTAATCCAAGCAACTGAGAGACAGAGGCAGGTACATCTCTGAATTTGAGGCCAGCCTGTTCTACACAATGAGTTCTGGGATAACCATATCTACATAGTGAAACTTCTTCTCAAAAAAGAAAGAAAGAAGCTAGGGTATATAAAACAGTGAAAGAAAAAAATGCTTGCCCCATGTTTCCTGTGTGCTCATCATAAGTCAAGCCACTGTGAGCAGTGCTGAGACTGAAAACGTAAGACCCTTCCTAGGCATCCGTAGTGAGATCAGTGCAAACGGGGGAGGCAAGATAAAAAGGATGTGGCCCAGGACCTCGCGGGAGACCATTGCATTCAGAAGGTCCTAGAGAAGTTTATGGAATTGATGGCGTGCGAGGTGATCCTGGAAGGGGAGACAGGAGGAAAATACTGTTGTAGATACAAGCAGAAGGACTGGTGAACAACATAGGTAGTGGAAGGGAAGACATTTGCAGGTACACAATAAGGCCGAGAGCTGCGACTTGAGAGGGAAAGAGATAATGGGTCTAAAAACCCGGAGCATCTTCAGCTTGAAGCTGAGAGATTTGGACTCTGTGTTGTAGGTCATGAGCATGGGGGTAGACGAGGCTAAATAACACATTGGACAGCACAAATAATCCTAATAACAGGGAATCTAGCAAATAGGGAACATGAATTAAAAGGGGACAGCCCTTAGAGTCTGGCCTGTGTAGGAACGCCAGCTCTGCCACCAGCCCTACAGCCTTAGTTAGGCCTGTGCCTCTCTGAGTCCCAACATCCTTAGCTGTAAATGGAAATAAAAACCGCAGTCTGGCTCCCAAGGTTGTTGTGTTAGAGCAGAATGCACCTATGATTGAGTCCCCAAGGGGCAGGTCCTGATTTATACAACGTTTGGCTTCTCTGTCGCTTGAGATAATGGATGGCGGGGTCATTTCTCCATCTAAGCTGGTACACAGCGGCGCTGCACAAAGAATAGGTGCTGTGGAAGGAGGGACCCTAGTTTAGTGACAGGTAGGGTCTGGTTCACATTCCCTCAGCTAATAGAAGAGGCTCACTGACTGACATCAAGCCAGCAGTGACCCCCTCCAAAGTCCCGGCTGCTCTCAGAACATCACAGTTAACCATCAGCAAACAGCTGAGCCTTGCTCCTCCTTAGGAGCTGAACCGTCTCTATCTTCAGAACTGCGTGTAACTACAACAGGCCCCACTCTTTTCAATAGGAAAAGGAGACGGGAATGCTCACTGGATGGGTGAGCCCATTCTAAAGGACTAACAGCAGTTGGGAGAATTTGGAGTAAAGCTTTACGAACACAAAGGAGCACTGTGATGAGTCCAGCCAAGTTCACACGATTCTCCTGAAATCTTGAGCTCCGGGGGCGAAAAGAGTTACTGTTTGAAGTGCTCACATGAGCTCTAAGGAGGAATAACAACGGAACTCTCAGCCCCTGGCCCCTCAACAGTGGAAAGCACTTTCACCTTTACGGGCTGGTTCATTGCTACCCTGTGAAAACAGAGCTCGGGCTATAAAATAAGGCCAATTAAGTCTACACAATTCTGCTTCCTGCCCCGTCAATTTCACCTCTTTCTCTTTCTTCCCCGTGTAATTAATAGCCTCTCCTGCTTTATTTCCTCGTGGCACAGGTTTACAGTTTGGGAATATCATAAAATGTACAATACGCACAGGAAAAAATCACCCCTCCGCCCTGCACGCACACTGGCATTTGTACACGAGCTCGGGCGTGGCACACCAACACACCCTTTCCTCCCTACCTACGAGCTTATGAAATAACTGCTCAGGCCTCATGGTTGATGATGGCACTCAGCGGCCTTGATGGCCTAATGTGACACCGCATGGCTTCTTCTCCCTGCAGTCACACAGACACCCGGGCTTAGCCAAGCGTCAGTCCTGAGTAGATACCCGGAACCCAGATGCTGTAGACAAGCCGACCAGAGGGTACTTGTTCACAGGTCTAGGAGGGCTCTTGCCTGGGGCATCCACTGTGTTTCTTCTCCTGTCACCTGGAGCCAGAAATCTCCCGTAGATGCTTACTGCCCCGAACAGATCATGTTTCTGTTTTACCCCTGTTTCTTTGGGACAATGTGAGTACCCAAGCTATTTGAAAGATGAGGGAACTTGAGGTGAAGCCACCAGAGTGGAAATGTTTCTTGGGCTTCCGTGAGCTGTGACACCTTGTGTGTGTCCTTTGTGGGTCATGGTGCCATGGTTTGGAGGCTCAGCGGAAATACTTTGGAGCACAGAGGTCCTTCCACTGCATGCTCAGGGAGGAACGGAGATGGGCGGCTGTCGTTCTCAGGGGTGATGAGTGAGTGCTAGGAGACACAGAGCCTGTGCCCTGACTCTGCCGCCAGCCAGGAACCCTCACATGGGGTTTCACGTTTTAGAGGCCTGGCCTCATCACACCTCAATTTTCAAAGCTTCCTCGTGTGTTAGTCAGACAAAAGGGCTGGTGCAAAATTCAAGATGTCATTATTTGTAAGCAAACTGGATGGAGCTAGAAAACATCATTTTGAGTGAGGTAACTGTACAAAGACAATTATCACATGTACTCACTCATAAGTGGTTTTTAAACATAAAGCAAAGAAAACCAGCCCACAAATCACAATCCCGGGGAACCTAGACAACAATGAGGACCCTAAGAGTCTACATAGATCTAATCTACATGGGAAGTAGAAAAAGACAAGATCTCCTGAGTAAATTGGGAGCATGGGAGCCTTGGGAGAAGGTTGAAGGGGAGGGAGAGGAAGGGAGGAGAGCAGAGAAAAATGTAGAGCTCAATAAAAATCAATTAAAAAGGGGGGACTGGTGCTCTTCTTGGATGCATGCTCGTGGATTACACAAACTACATAATTTAATCATTGCCCTGAAGGATCTTCCCTGATGCCCATTGTTAGTCTGTATTGTTGACCAGGATAGTTATCTTGTATCCTTTAGGTTCTGAATAATAAATATTTCTAATTTCTACTCTTCCCTGCTGTAGAAGAGACATGCATGGCTGCTGTATATAGGTACCCCTCCCGTGGCTGTAATTGAGGAAACAGCACCTCCTCTGCATGTTGCTAGAAAATGGAGCCTGAGTCCTTCTGACTGAATTTTTACCACCTTCCCTTCTGCCACCACGAGTGTCACCTTGGCACTCCTTCTGAACCTTACTGAGCGTTGAGAATGCTCCTGGTGACGGCATTCAGATCAGCCATCCTTTTGCGAGGAGCCAAAACTTTGGTGACCTCACCTAGGTACAAGAATGCTGTCTTGGATGGGAAGGGACAAAGGTAGCAGAGGTAGGGACCAGATTTAGGTGACCTCCCCATGCGCTCTGTTAAGCCCCTTAGAGTTCTCTCCCCATCTGGCTTCTTTGGCCTCCTCTTCCTTTCTCTTCTTGAATTTGCCTCCATGAAACACTTCTGCTTGGTGTGGGGCTAAGACTTTATAAGGAAGTTCTTTCAGCTCTTGGGAGCTTTTCCCTTCTTTCTTTGCTCTGGAAAGTCAGAACCTGAGGTTCTGCTGCTATCTGAAGGTGCCTTCAAAACAGAGGTGGGGGGAGGTAAATCCAGAAAGGCCAGCCCATTCCTATTTCTCCCTTTCCATAGCTAGCCCCCAGGGCCACATAAAACACAAGGCAGATTTAACCAAGGTGTTCTCCATCCGGGATGAAGGGAGAAGGTTGCCAGTGGTACCTAGGAGAAACCGTTCTCCTTAGATGGGTGTTTGACATGGGACATGGGACAACTCTACCAATTAATGAAGGACAGGGCTTGGTTATAAAGACAGTCATTGAAATGTAGTGGAATTTTCCATAGAGACAGAAATGTTCTTTCTGCTTGGTTCAAAACAGCAACCATCAGGGTTTCGTGCAGTACAGCAGGTAGAATGTGGCTAATGCTACTGAGGGTTTCATTTTGTTTAGTTTGAAATAAATAAGCTTTAACTTGCCACTAGTGGGTTAGATGGTGAAATTTAAACTTTTTCTTCATAAGTGACCTTATATAATTTTATATATACCTTATATACATATAATCTCACTGACCCTGCGCTCACCCATCTGTAAAGTAGTCACAGTTCTGGCCCCCTGCATCTTTATTGCACTGACAAAGTGAGAGAGACTGGTACCAAGCTGATAAATGCCAGTTCCAGATCCTGCACTCCATAAGGACCCTAGAGTCAAACCTGAAAATTAGAACAATGTAACAATCTAGAGGAAATGCATATTAAAAGTCCATGCCTTGATTTTTCTCCAGAATCAATTCCTTCTGATTGCCAGGTTCATTCACTCACCCTTCGCTGTTTGCCAAGAGTGTCCTGAGAGCAAAGAAAGGCTGAAAGGATCATACCTACAGTGGCCCTACCTGCCCCTCACTGCAGTCCAGGCCTGAAGACAAAGGGAAGAGTAGACTGGACAACCAGCATTGGCAACCAGCATCCATCTCTTTATACCAGACTGCAGACACATCCTGCCACCATGCCTTCCCTGCCATGGTGGACTGAACCCTCAAACTGCTAGCAAAAAGGCTTCATCACTCAAATTGCCTTGGCTAGCATATCGCCACAGCAGTAAGAGGGCTCCATAATGCATCCCGTAAGGATCTCAAGTTAAACGAATTTGAAAGCAAGTAGTCCTCTCTCTCAAACTGTTCCCCTTCAATATTCTCTACCTCACAGAAGAGCAATGGCATCTGCCCACGGAACCAGAAGACAGTTGGTCTAGAACCACTGAGTTCAGCCATTGTGACCCCCTCAACTTCCTACTGAGCCCTCCCCAAAAGCCTTGGGGTTGGAGTATCTTATCATCTCCTACTCACTTACCTTGTCAATAAGTCAGACTGTGTCTTCCATGGGTTTGGTGTTGTTAATTCAAGAACCTTTTAGAAGAGTTGCTTTTTCTTAGACTGTGTTGCCCGGAGGGGGAACGGAACAGATTCTATCTATAATAGATTCTCACTGTTCAGTAGATATGACAAAATGACACTCATTTGCAATTATTCTATTTTCCTGGGAGCACGGTCACATAAGCTACAACTAACCACATTCGTTCTTTGTCACTGGACTGCACACCATTGCTTTATCTTTGCTGTCTTCACACCATACTCATATTCCGGTACACAAGAAGTGCTGGGAGCCTGTGGATGAATAAAGAAATGATGCAGTGAATGAATGAATGAAGAACAAAGAAACAAAGGAAGCAGTGCAGTTCTTTCCACCAGGCAGCCCTGAGTAAGCCACTTCCTGCAGAAGTCTAAGTGAATCCTTCTTCCCCTGTCATAACCCAGGCAGGACTCAAAAAGAAACCTGAGGAGCAGCCTAATGGTCAGGGAGAAATTCTCACCAATAATCAGCAACCAGCTGCACTTCCGTAATTCCCATCCTCTCTCCTCTCTTTATCGTTCCCATTTCCCATCTTACCCATTATTTCGATAACGACTTCAAACGCCAAGTTTTGCTATTCAGGGCACTATGGAAATGTGTTTTCCTCATCTGTTCTAATGAAATAGTTTCCACTGTCTGTTTCCCTTGCAGATAGCGATCACAGTCCGGGCGCAATAAAAAAGAAAGCCCAAACTTTGACCAATATAGAATCTAAAGCCTGTCCTTGGAAAGCAACACCCTAGGGGATTCTACCATAACCGCTCTGGACTTGGCCCGGCTACTGCTGTTGAATACAAGGTATTTGGAAGGATCCATTTCTGTGAGCGGACTTCCCGATTCTTCCCTCAAGTCTTCCCAGAAGGCCAGAAGAAAAAGGCTTTGAAGAATGGCACTCCCTCAAGACCCAGAGGGAGGCTTCCCAGGGTCTAACAATAGGCTTAAAATGTCCCCATCCTTTCACCGCCTCCTCTGGCTATAGCCCCTCATCTCTGATTACACTGCTGCCTGGGCACTAGACTGTCTCAGGTTGGCTGATGGCATCATCAAGACAATGCCCGGTCCCACTGGCACAAGATAAATGACCTTGGACAACTATTTTACCTATTGCCTTCAGTATCCCACTTATGAAACAATTGTACTGACCTGTGCTTCAGAGTGTACTGTGAGATTAAGTTACATAATAATCCAGACACCCCATGGGAACAGGTTCCAGGCCATGGGAGGACTGTGTATCACACACCCTTGTCAGTATCTGACTTCTCTCAGCTCTGATATCTCTAGGCCCACGTTTGTATAGAGTTTATAGCTGAGAGATTGCCAAATGAAACCCCCATTTCATATGCTTGTGTGCATGCCTACACCAACACACTATCCCCCTATACACAAAGAAACACATACAACATATATAAGCCACATATATTTGTGTCTTATGTACACAAACCTCATATATAAGCTGCACATATTATATGGATAGCATACTATACACACATCAAATACACCAGAAACCCATACCATTCTACCCAACATGCAAAATACTACATGCAGACCATATCCAGAGATATTATGCGGCACACACAATTCAACTAAACACATACATGCACACACCAGGGGGTGGGATTTGGGCCTTGGCCAGTTAAAATTCCAAGGGTGACCTGTCCCCACTGGCCTTTGTTATGATCTGGCCTTCCTAAAGAGGAAACAGCTCCTGTGCTCCGTCCAAAAGGGTTGGGAGGAAATGCTTTGGGAAACATAAAGGAAGGGGATGTGCTGTCCCTTTAGAGCTTTTGATCTTTACTGAGACCCTATTTTCAATCCTGGCTGACCGTAATCAGCAGTAACATACTTGGATCATTCGCTCAAGATCCAGCACCATTTAGCACACACTTACAGAAGCCATACCAACCCTAGAGGTGTGAGGAGGTGATGGGTTCCATGAAGTCAGGCAGTTAGAATTTCAGTGACTTCATTGAAAAGAAGGGCTATCTCCTTTGCCATGACTGAGTTGTGTAGCTAATAATTAAAATATAGATCTTAGTGCTTTAGGTATTATAAAGAAAACATGTATATTAATAGCAAGTCCAAATCAGGGTGAGTCTATGACAGTGCTGCCACATGGAATCAGCATCCCTTGCCCTTTGTTCCTTCTTGACGCTAGATGAGATAACGGTTGAGCAGCTTTTCCTCTTTAGCTCCTGTGCTTAGCAGCTAATGTGTGTTCATGTCCACTGTCTCATTAGTCATTCGCAGTGACCTGAAAGATTATACTTATATGGACCATATAAGTATATCATTATATATGTCATAGTCTATAGTGGGAAAGGCAGAGTGGGGAGACTGCTCCATCCTCTGGACACCACACTGGCCTGCCTCCAGCCACCCCACATGTCTCTGCAACTTGATAATAGTAGACTTCTGGTGGGTAGCTTGAAACTTTCTGTTAAACATGACAGAAAAGAATAGGGAGGCCCCTTGTAGGTGTAGACTTGACTTCAGAACGTCCCACATGTTGACCCTGGCTGGTAACTGACTTCAGTTCATCTTCAAGTTTCAGATGTTTCTCTTACACCCTTGTCTTAGGGTCCCACTATTACATGTTGCTACAGCATCTTGTTCTTTTTACTTAGTAATTTGAAATGAAAATTGAAATTTATGCCTTGGCAATGCTGAAGCATGCATGGGCAGCTTGCATATGGTGGTTCTGTTGAACTCGACCATATTGGGTTTCATGGTCTAAGTTGGTGAGGACGACTGACCGAGTCTCTTCCTCAAGAGGGCACCAGATCTTATTACAGATGGTTGTGAGCCACCATGTGGTTGCTGGGAACTGAACTCAGGACCTTAGGAAGTGGTCTTAGCAGCTGAGCCATCTCTCCAGCCCCATACTCAGAATAAGTTTCCCACAATGTTCTTTCCATAGTTGAGTTCTGAGCCTCCGGAAGGTGGGATGACAGTCAGTACAGCTCCTAGCTAGCACTGTAATGAAAGAATTCATCACTCTGCTTCTTAGGAAAGTCTCTATAGGTATCCAGACATCAGGCAGAAAGAAACCTCCCAGAGTTACCAAGAAGGACAGACAAAAACATGTTCACAAAAGAGATCAATAATCTGTCAGATTCTCTTCCGGGATGAAGTATCAGGTACAGACCAAAGGCAGGAGGAGAGGGCCTAGAGTTTTGGTCCAGATGAGTCAGTCACATGCTTTGGGGCATCTGGGCAATGGGGCCAGGAGATCAAGGTTCCCAGCTCTCTTCAGAGCTTTAATTAGAAAAGATGACTCTAAAATTGAGAAATGCTCAATTATCTTCTTTCACATCAGGAAGATGTAGAAGGTATTGAGAGATACTAAGGGGTATGAATGAATTCTGTACCAGGACATGGCAGGGGGTATATATGAATAGATTCCGTGACAGGACTTGTCAAGGGGTATATGAGGAAGGACGTTCTCTATTACATATAGTAAAGCCACAAGACAATCAGGAAAGCCAACTAAATGCTAACAGGCAAAAATGAAGTAAGGAAAACATAAATTAAAGTGTGACAGTTGAACAGAATGAACAGAACTGGACCAGACTCTGAAAGTTCACTTTGAGGAGTTCACTAATGGATAGATTAGGACTTTCGCAGTGCCCTTGTGGCACGTTTCCTAATTATTAGCTATTTTTACAGCTTTGACCTCCTTTGAGTCTCATAAAAAGGCATTTTAGATGGATTAGGAAACAAACTCAGAAGTCACCTGCCTAATTGTGCCTCCTGGAGCAGCTGGCCTGTACCTGAAGCTCATGTCTCTTGATCCACAGTTCCGAGCACCCCACAGCGTATCAGGCCATTACACACTAGTGTTTGACTATGGAATGACCTCACCTCAACTTCTCCTGGTCCAAGATGTCTTTGATCATGTTTATATCGTCATTCAACAAACATCTATAGTTTTGCCTTTTCCAGAAGAGCAATCTAGCACTCTCATTAGCGCCAGGAGTCTGATAATGCTGTCGGCAGCTGCGACACACAAGCACACAGTGCGTCACAGCTGGCTCCACTGCCACAAGGCAGATGTGCCCGTCAGCTACACCATTTTCCTGGTTACTAAAGAATTCCATAATCATTGAAAAAATACCCCAATAGGAAGTACTGAGAATGACAAGTTCCCCTTTACTTTACTACAGGATTTTCTTTTCTACAGTAATAGACTCAAATGTGGTGCTTGTTGATTGGCAGGCATAGAAGAGCCCCTTATTATACAGCATCTCATTTCATGTTGATAACTTGATCAAATGCTGCTCCCATCTCCACTCTCTAGCTGAGAAAACTGTACCTTCCAGAAGGAGCTCTTCCAAGTTCATAGAAACCAGTAAGTAGCCGAGGAAGAATTCTGGCCCGAGCCTGACATACGTAGCCACACTCTTTCTGCTCCGCGGTCTCTTTCCAGTGCATGTTGTAGTCTGGATTCTTCAAGATGACTTGTTGTCTCCTGCCCTCCAAGTCTACCCTGGGTCTACGAAGGGAGTGAAAGGGCCAATCCAAAATTCAGTTTAGCGTCAAGGTTGCAGGGCAAATTTCAACAGATTCTTTCCCACGTGTTTGCTGAGTCAGAAGCCCCGAGGAAGCACTTGGTCAAGGTCAGGAAACTTGAATCTTGAGTGAGACCCTTGTTCTCGTGTGCACTGCGTACCCACCTAGGCTCCTGGGCAAGCACCTCTCCTCTGTGTCTGCTTCCTCATCTTTACACTCCGAGCATCGGGTAATCTCTGGGTGACCCACACCATCTCTCTCGTGACATCCTGAAATGAGAATGGACTTACTGAGTAATCTTTGAGGGCCTTTCAGCTCTGACCCACACCATCTTTCTCACGACATCCTGAAATGTGGATGGACTTACTTCATATGATCATTTGGTTAAAAATCATAAAAATAATAAAGCTAAAGTATTCAAAGTCCTGCTCAGACAAGTGGCATTGGGGATAAAAGGCCAGTGTGTCCTTTCTTGTGGCAATGGTCATAAACATTGTGGCTGAAAACAACAGAATCTCCTCTGGAGGCAAGACATTAGAACCAAGGCATCAGCAGGGCTCTGCTGCCTCCAGACATTTAGGAGAACTGGTCCCGGCCTCTTTCAGTCCCTGCTAGATAATGGACTGTTTGTGAGAGACCCAATCAGTTTCAGGTCTCTGGTGGCCACGTTGCTCCCTCCTCCTCCTCTTCTGTGCTAACCATACCTTTGTTGCTTTCTTTCTTTTTATTGTGCATGGTGTGTGTGTGTATGGCTTGTGTGTGTGTGTGTGTGGCTTGTGTGTGTGCATGGTGTGTGTGTGTGTATGGCTTCTCTCTGTGTGTGTATGGCTTGTGTGTGTGCATGGTGTGTGTGTGTGTATGGCTTGTGTGTGTGTGTTCTCATGTGTACATGTGTAGACTTACCCTACATGAATACACAGAGTCCAGAGGAAGATGTCAATTTTCTTCCTCTATAGCTCTATGCCTTGAACAGCTCTGTGAACCTAAAGCTAATCATTCCAATGAGGCCAGTGATCCCCTAGGATCCCCCCATCTTAACCTCCCAATAATGGGGTTGCAGGCACACATGGCCATGCCCACCTTTAATGTTGGTGCCCGGGATTTAAACTCAGGTTCTCATGCTTACATGGCAAATATTCTTTTCCGTAGAACCATCGTCTCCATCCTTCTGCTGTTCTGTATAAAGATATTTGAAATTATATTTAGGGCTTACACAGATAACTCATGACATCCCCATCACAATGTACCTCATGCGATCACATTTCCAGTGGCCACTGAGCAAATACAGTAGCATTTAGAGCAGCGTTTCTCAACCTGTGGGTTGCAAACTCTTTGAAGGTTAAACATCCTTTCACGGGAGTCACCTACATACATTATGATTTATAACAATAGCAAACTTATAGTTATGAAGTAGCAACCACAATAATTTTATGACTGGAGTCACCACAACATGAGGAACCGTATTTATGGGGTCACAGCATTCGGAAGGTTGAGGACCACTGCTTTAGAAAGTCTGAGGGTGAGGTATTAGTGTCTTTGAAGATTTATTCAGCCTATTAAGGAATAGTACTGTACTTGCTTTGAGATGATGTTAAGAGTACCCTTTCCAGGACATCCCCGTGTACATCCAGAGTCATACCCCTGCACTCCAGATCTAAACCACCAGCCCACCAGAGGTGAGTCAACAGATGAGCCATTTGATAACACTAAAGTCAAACTCCCTGGGACCAGAAGTCATCTCTGACCCATCCAATTTCCTGAAATATTCCTCATTAGTAATGTGAAGAAAATGAAAGATATTTTGTTGCTGTCCCATTGTGAATGTATTCTTTATATTAACATGAACTGTCCCATCTTATTGCTCTCATTTTAAAAATCTGCTGTTGATATCTGTCCTTAAATGCCAAAGAACAGGGGGTAGTATATAGCACAAAGATAATGATTTGGGGGCTTAATATGCCATTCCCAGGCATTTTGTAGAGAGAGCGTGCTTGATTAACATACTTGAAGGCTTCAGTCCTGTAACCAACACTGAAAGAGACACACACAAAGATTACTGCGTGCCTTTGAATATGCCCTGCCTTGCTCAGACACTGAGTTCAAAACCACTGTGGTCTCTGTAGCAGGTTCCAGTACATAAGTAAGAGTGTACTTGTGCACTATGCAAAACGTATATTGGAGGAGAGACAGAATTTGGAAAACTGTGCTAAGAAAATATATGGAAGAATGAAACTACATCCCTATCTGTCACTCACCACAAAACTCAAAGCAAAATGAAATAATAATTAAAAAAAACCTTCATGTAATACCCTAAATGTAAACTATTACAAACAAAGAAACGAAATAGGCAACACTTCAAGATGTGGGAATAGCAAAGATCTTCTGAACAGGATTTCAAAAGCAGGGGAAAGAGTCCTAAGAATTGGTAAGGTTACAAGGAATTAATAAGTTCCTAAACAACAAAGGAAACAATTGCCAAAGTGAAGACACAGAATGTGAAAGTCTCCAACAGCTAGGCCTCAGACAGAGGGTATACAAGTAGGTACCCAAATTAAAAAGCAGAGAAAATCACATCTTCCAACCAGTGCATGAGGTTAATGACCTGAATAGAAAGTTCTCAGAAGAAGAAATAAAATGGCCAAAAACCAAACAAAAAACTTAAAGTGTTCTGCTCAACGTCCTTAGCCAGGAAGGAGAGTCGAATTAAAATTACTTTCAGATTCTATTTTATCCAAGTCTGAAGAATATCACAAAAATAATAACAGAGCCTTGCAAGAATGCAGAAAGAATGGAACCCTATTCTCTGCTGTAGGGAAAGGAAGCTGGTACAAACACTGTAGAGATCAGGGCAGAGCAGTGGCTCTCAACCTTCCTAATGCTGTGACCCTTTAATACAGTTCCTCATGTTGTAGTGGCCCCCAACTATAAAATTATTTCATTGCTACATCATAACTACAATTTTGCTATGCTATTGTTATGAATTATAATGGAAATATCTGTATGCGATTTCAAAAGGGTTGTGACCCGCAGGTTGAGAACCGCTGATATAAATTCTCCTCAAGAAACTGAAACTGTTACTACAACATAACCTAGCTGGACTCCCCTAGAGGATGCACTCACAGAGCTGTAACTCAACATGCCAGAGATACTCACACATCCATGTTGATAGCTGTACCATTCATCATTGGCATGACACAAATCAGCCTAGATGTTCATCTATTCAAAAATAGAGCAAGAAGATATGGTGTGAATGAAATTTTGTTCAATTATAAGGAAAAGTGGACATTTGTAGGAAAATGGATGGAAGTTGGAAGTATTGTGTTAAAAGAAATAAGCCAGACTTAGAAGCACAAATATGCCTTTTCCCACATGTGAAAACTAAACTACAAATACACATGTAAAGAGGACAAAATGCCTTTTTCCAGTCCTGAAAATTATGGAGTAATGGAGTAAGTCTTTCAGATTATGTACACATTTATACACATATGTAACATACATACATATGAAATTTGAATACATACACCTATGTATGTACATATCTAAGACACAAATTTGTTTAAAATTTTTTAATTTATTTATTCAGTTGTATTTTAATATAGTAAACCAAACAAAATGATAGTTATGCTGATCAAGCAATTTCTATAGGTTCCTTTCTGAAGTAATGGGTTTCACCATCCTCATACACATGTGCCATTAGAATGTTGTCTTTTGTCCCTCTCCATCACTGCCCTTCCCTGTTCTCTCCTGGCCTGGCTTCCTTCTTCCCCCTACTTAGTCTCTGTTTTCCTAGAGCTTTATTACCTGTCTATTTGCCACCTCTTTAACATTTCTTCTTCTCCGCATGGTTTCTTCTGTAGTTTCATGACCTACCAGCACGCATATAAATAATGTATACACACACACACACACACACACACACACAGCATAAATAAACAAATGTTGCTTTAAAGGTTTTCAGATCAAGCTTGATCTCCATGACCTTGAATTTCACAATATATACTTAGATATGATACCAAAAACAGGTGTAATGCAACTATAAAACGGATTAGACACCATCAGAATTTAAAACCTATCCATAGCTAAGAATATTGAACAAGAAAGGGAAAAGGCAACCTTGAGAAAATTATTTGCAAAAGACAAGTCTCATAAATGCTTAGTACCCATAATATCTCAGTTGATGTTAAAAAGGGAAAATAAATACAATAGATGTGTCAGCAAAGACAGACATGCGCATGTCCACGAAACACATGGGAACATGATCAGCATCCATTAGTCACTAGGGAAATACAAACCCCAGACCACATTGGGGTCACCACTTCACACCCACTGGGAAGAATATAATAATTTTATTTAGAAAATGAAGAAAAGAACAAGTATTGGTCAGGATGTGGGGAAACTGGAACTCTTGTGCACTGCTATTAGGTGTGTAAGTTGGTTTGCCGCTGCAGAAAGTAGTCTGGCAGTTCCTCAAAAAGTTGAACAGAAAATCACCATAGCAACCCCAGTATTCTATGCTTGAGACTCTACCCAGAAGGGTTAGATGTAGGTATGGACACATGTGCAGATTCCTACCTCCACAAGAGCCCAAAAGAGGAAGCACTCCGCATATCCACCAACAGAGAAAAGAATAAGCAAAGTACACACGTACAAAGTGTGCATACACAAGTGGGCCATTCATCAGCCATAAATAGAAATGAAGTGCTGATACGGGTCACAAAGTGTCATGTGATAAAGCCAGGCCAAAAAAAGCTTCATATTGTATGGCTCTGTGTAGATGAAATGTCTAGATAGGCAAACTCACAGGCAGCAGGTGAAGACAGATCCATTGTCACCTAGGCTAGGGCAAAGAGGAGAAGGTGCTTAATAGGTCAAACATTTTACTTGCAGTGATGGGAACTGTTTGCGGGCTGCAGTTAGGTAACACTGCAGATATATCAAATGCCTCTGTAGATCCATGGCAGAATGGTAAGCTTTGTTATGTGGAATTCACCCAAATGCATTATTTCCAAGTAGATATCTACCACTTCAGCGACATTCTAAGCAGGGCCTTCAAAGAACCATCCTGTGTTGACATATTTCATTAGCTGGCTGGAGTGATGGCGCAGTGGTCAAGGGGACTTGCGACTCTTCCAAAGGACATGTGTTCGGGTCCCAGCACCCATGCTGAATGGCTCATAACTGCCTGCAACTCCAACTCCAAGGGATTCAATGCCTTCTTAGGGCCTCCACAGGTATTTGCACTCATGTGCATACATACATGAATATGCGTAAATAAAATTAAAATAAAATATTTTAAAATATGTTTGTTAGTAATCCTGTGCATCTTTAAATAAACTAGTAAATAAAATCAATTAGTAACTAATAAATTTATCTTGGAAAATGTATTATTGTAAGAGACACAGAGACGAAGACACAGAAACATTTAACCAGCATAGTAAATTCATTGCCAGTGACATCACGGCTTTATATAAAACTATGACCGAGTGAAATAAAAAATTAAAACTATCCATAAAATTGCCCAGATAGATTGTAATACTATGACATAATGGCAAACTTTTTCCAAAATATGTGACTTGTTACTCTGTTTTGCATATACTTGCCTCGGCCTCTACTGAGGAATATTTCCTCTTCAAATTAAAACGAGCTAAACTCTATTTTAAGAAACCAAGAAACAACATTTACTTCAACACTGAGGCCAAGTCAGCTGAAAAAATAAAGTTGAAAATGCTTGCAATAAATGTTTCTATTGCAAAATCACAATGTGACTATAATTTTGAATTTGCTTATATTTATCAGATATTATCTTTCTTAGGATATCTTTTCAGGTTTCAAAATATATACAAAAATATTAGATTTCTGGAAAAAATTAACAATTGGCAAAATTTGGCTTGGTTGAGAGGATCTTAGTGAGACTTTGACCTGTTAAACACAAACCACTAAGTATCAAAATCAGGAAATTGTCACGTGAGGAATTGGTGGCAGAGGTGAGGGATGCCTGAGAAGTCCCATGGTAGACCATGAGGCACTCCCGGAGGTAACAGCAGAAGGAAGTAGACCCTCCTCCAGGAACTCTGGTCCCTGGGCTGGAAACAGGATGGATCATCCTGCAGGCTAGATTACTCCCCTAGGCACAAGGAAAAGACCTGGTTTCTCCCTCTTCCCCAGCCTACAGTCTCTCACCTACCTAAATACTAGCTGATTGCTGTAGAAACAGAGGAACCAGACTCAAGCCTGAAGCCTCCTACGGCACATAGGTAAGCAAGGAAGAGGGTGAACTGCGCAGGAAGGCAGGAAGACGGTGACCTTAGCAAAGGGCATAGCTGGTTCTCATGGGATGGGGAGAGTATCGTATAAATGACACTCACTCGCAATGACTTCTGTTTACTTACTGTCCTCAGGGATCTGACTATCTCCTTGGACAACAGGTCATGTAATAATTGTGACTATTTCCACAGGTAATAAACAACAGCACCTTACGAAGGGTTTCATGTTTTCTAGAGGTGAAGAAATTACCTCTTGGAAAGAGGCCACACACTGGAAACTGTATGCTCCTCAGTGCTCCTCTCTCTATCAAAGCCCAATTCACACCATCATGGAGTCCTACCTCGTTTTCCAACAGTTTCTCAAGCTCATCCATTTTCCCCACTGTATAGCCTAATCTGAGGCTGTTTAATCTCCCACTTGGGCCACGACATTGGCTACAAATCACATATTTGTGGCCATCCATAATTCTCCAGTTCATTTTTTTTTTTCACATAGGAAGGGTGGTTGGCTTTCCGAACACAGATATTCTGGGACTGGCTTATTAAAACTGCCTACAGCTTCCCCAATGCTCTCGAGTTAATGACCAGATGGAATGAAAGAGTTCCAGCAGACCAAACAAATAGCTCCCAGAATGGGGGAAAATCTCTCCCAGCTGGACTTCAGATGGCGGTTAATATACAGAATTTACACAAAATGACAAAAATTAAACACTCAGGAAGAGAACTGCCAGTCAACAAAAACGAACAGACAGTTCTCAAAAGAAGAAACACAGGCCGTCGGTAACTACTGTAAAAAGTGGTCAGTGTCCCTGTCAAGGGGGAGATGCGAATTAAAACTACTTTCCATACTGCCTCCCGCCAGTCAGAAAAGTCTGTTATCAAGATGGCTGATAACAAAGTCAGAGGATGTGGAGAGAGATGAACTCTTACTCATTGCCAAGGGGAGGGCAATTATGGAGATCAATTTAGAGGTTCCTCAAAAAACAAAAGGTAGAGTATCATCTGACTAAGCTACGTAACTCCAGACAATATACTCAAATAACTCCACACCCTACCATAGACAGATTTTAATTCTGTCCTATTTTTTTTTATTGTAGATAAGTGAATTCAACTTCCTATGTGTTGAAGTAGAAAGAACCATAAAAAAAAAAAAAAACTGGGTTTTTTTTGTTGTTTTTTTTTTTTAGTGAAAAAGTTCCACTGCCTCAGAATGGCCATTCTAACTGTATAGACTTTCATGGAAGTGTATGGAGCTTGGGACTGGGCAAGTGGCTTCTTCAAATTAGTTTTATGATGTTTTCATGTGTGACTTAATTAGAGTAAAATGAAGTTGTGAAAAAAAATCAAGACTCTTAAAGTTAAATCACCAATGTCGGATACGTTTGCTAACTATTAAGGAAAAGCTCACACTCAGGTCTTCTTCACCTTCAAGGTTATGCTTTCTCCTTACTCAGGTAGAGCAGATTTTCAAAGTAAATTTTCATAACACCATACATAGCATTTATCGTTATTTCCATTTTTTAAAATGAGAGAACCATGTTTAGAGAGAGTCAGTGATGAGACAGTTAGAGTTAAATGCAGAGATTCCAGTTCTGGAGATGGATGTAACCAAGATACAGATCCAATCTTACGGTATTTTGTAGATGGATACAACAAAAAGTAATCCCACACTAGCTCAGAGTGGGGTATAATAAAGGGTTCTTTATTTAGGGGTAGATTCACAGTCCTCTGCATAAGCAGGGAGCAGTAAACAAATCTAGCAGCAGAAAGAGAGAGAGAGAGAGAGAGAGAGAGAGAGAGAGAGAGAGAGAGAGAATGCATTTTTATTACCCAAGACCACACCCAACCTGGTCCAGCATCTCAAAGGCCACTGGCTGAAGAAATTACCCCAGCACCTCCTCCTTTTGTCTAAATAAGAGAGTTCCAAACCCAATACAAAACTATATATAATAA